ATATCCAGAGGGCGCTTGGGCTCTCGGAGCCTTCTGTTGCACATGCGGTACCAGGACAGTCGTTCTTGGCTGTGGAGTGGAAGCTGGTCGCAGTGTTTGTTTGCCATGAACTCGGCATCTCAAAAAATTGAACAACCAAGCATGATATGTTTCGTGTTTTTTTTGTGTGTAGTTCTGTTGGCTGCCAGCATTTTGGTCCCCCGAAATTCCAAAATTTTCCAGTTGCGGACAGGAGGCACAGGTGCTGAGGTAAGAGCCTGAGTTGACTCGTGATGATGCGAAGATGGGGAGCTTTGCTCTTTTATACCAAAAAAAACTTCAACTTTACGAAAGCACACCCATTTTGAATCATTTTTATCGTTGACGTTTGTTCTTAGTGAACATGTCGACCAATAGTTGATAGATGAAAAAGGTCGTCCAAGGTAGGATGGCTTCTGGTGAGGGGTGCCACTGACTTGAACCATCTGTCAACCCAATTTGTCGTATAAACATTTGTCATTTCTCATTGTTTTCTCAAGGTTTTCCATGTTGAAATTTCCGGTTCCACTGATTTTTTCCAAGCAATTTTCATGGGCAAAGCGATCAAAGCGATCAAAGCGATCAAAGCGATTGATGATGTTGCAAATCAATGTAAATCATAGGATGGAATGGGCTATGGCTAGTCACTAGTTGCAATTTGAAGAGAACCCCAAATCACATTGTTGGTTATATTCCCAAACAATATCCCCCATACCATCCTAATTATGGCTGGTTTTGTCCCCATTCTTTCATATTACATCCACATAAAATGTTTGCTCAAGTAAAAAATGCCCGATTTATGTATCAATAGAATCAACACACACGCACATATATATATAGAGCTCATTAAGAAATGCACACAGCTGTGACAGGGGACACATTACATTTCATCTTGTCCCAGCAAATATCCCCACATTGATGGTACGACGCCCATTTGTAGGTCTATTAAGCCTTGTTAACCGCCAAAAACCCTATAAACCCAATATGGATATGGATCAAACCATATCAATCATATTATGCCTGATCATATGGGGATGAAACTTGAATGAACATCCATAAATCGCTGAAATTTGGGGTGAACAGGCTTCAACCCAGGTGAAGTGCATATGATTTTCCCATATTTTCCCCAAAAAAAGCACCATCACATCACTGGTTTCTGTGGGATCATCCCATCCCCCCATCCCGAGGCGCTTTCATGATGCGGCCGCCCTCAGTGACCGATGTGGAGGCGGCCCAGTCGCATCTGGTGCTGTTGAAGTCCAAGATGCGGCAGAGGCGGCAACAGGCCGATAACCGGATTGGGGTGCTGGTTGGAAGTAAAAAAAATATGGGTATGGATCAATACCTATTAATACCATTTTTAGTGGGTTATTCACATCCATTTACCAGCTATTTTGATGTGAACTACAGGGGTACTATTGGTTTTGACACACTGCCATATTGGAAAAACCGTGGGAAAAACTGGAGAATCTTGGGAGGTTTGAGAATTGCTGGAGAATTTTAATGTGGAAACTAGCTTTGAATCATATTTGAATCATACTTCTTTCGAGGTCAGGTGTCCTAGCCGGTCCCCGTGGAGCTTTGATCAAGGTTTTTATCAAACATAATCTTCTTGAAAGGCTGGACACTTCCAAGAAAGTTTTGGCTTCCTGTGAAGGCCTTGATGCTACTAACAACTGGACATATAGCTGAATAGAACTGAATACGGCTGGGTATGAACAATAAACTTGATTGGTGTTTTTCAATCATATCATATCTAGTTGATTTGACAATTACAATTTTCATTTTTCCCTCATACTTGTGATAATGATCCCAACTTGATTCAACTTGATTCGTGGTTTCGGAATCAGTTCGGAATCAGTTGAAACCTCCAAACAGACTTTCCTGGGTCAAATTCTACTTTTTTTTTGGGCTGAAAAGAGCACGAATGTGGACATTATCTTACGACATTGTACCCAAGTTTTTTTTTTTTGAGAGTTCTGGAAATAGCAGAGCTGGGCGGAATGACTTCAAGCAAATCTGTGAATGTTCAGAAGTTTGGCGCGACATTGAAACATGGATTTTTCGTTACCCCATTTTTAGCAGTCACCAGCAGTGGATAGGAATTCTGATCCATCGATCCATCCTGAGAGTAATCTGCCTCAATCCTGTTGCCCCCAATGACACCTGGAGAGATCTGGACTCACCGCAGGCATGTGACGGTCGAGATCAGAGACAGCCGCAGTCGATGCCTTGAAGGTCACCAGGTCTGCGACTGGCTGCGACTGGCTGCGACTGGCTGCGACTGGCGACTGGCGTGGGCTGAGGCGAACGCAATACCGAGCACCCAGCACTTCGAATGTCTTGGCCTCGATTTTGGTGTGGAAAATCCAAGTGGAACTGCCGAAGCAGAGATCTTTCCATATTCTGAAGCAGATTCGCCACAGGAATTTTTGCGAGTTTTGAGAGCTGGAAGTGGAAAGCACCTGAAGTTCATGGATAGGTCATAGGTTTTCCTCTTTAAGAAGGAATGGGTAGGATAGACGCTTCGTTCTGTTGGTTTCCCGCAGAACGCAGCATTTCTGCAGAAAAAAACATGTCATGATGTGCTCGACATGCTGAGTCCCTTCGTGGTGTAACTTGGGTCGGAGCCTGAGGTCAGCTGGTTTGCAGGAAAGTCCCCATCAAAAATGGAGCTTTCGTTCGCTCGGAAATTCACTGAATGAGAGGGTTAGGAAGCCATGATTGGCCAAGCCTCTTGTCCTGGTGCGGCTGGATCCACTTGACACAGAGCTCGTGACTCAAATCGGCAACCGCCGCTGTTTAGGTTCTTTTAGCCACAGGAAAGTCCAGTCCTTCTCGAAAGTCTTCTGAAAGTTCATCACCTGTTCAGACATCATTGACTCATGAAACATCATTAGGGCCCAAGGGGAAATAGAAGTTGTTGCAACAATTGGACAGTGAGTCCGCCAGATTTTCCATCTAGAAGGTGTTGCAACAGTTGAGTTTTTCACAAACCCATGGGGCGCAAGCCATGCTCAGACTCGTCCGCAAGTCAGTGACTCCATAGGGTTGAGCCAAAATCAGTGACTTCAACTGAGGGTTTCCGTTTGGTCATGGGGCTACCCCAGTTATCATCTGATTTTCGGATTTTCCATCCCCAAAAAACCATGCAGCAGGGTAGCCCCATTTATGGACCCCCCAACTATCAAAACTCGATCAAGGTGGCCAGGAAAGGACCCCCTCAGCTGAAAAACCAGGTCAGAGGAAGAACCGCGAGTGCCGAAAAAAGACGTCGAGAAGACGAAAACCTCAAAGGACAGTTGGAACATGTTGGAAGATGAAAAATCGTTGGACAACATTGGATGAGTTAGCAGCTGTGTCATTTTTCGGAGATTGAACCCCCAAGCTGTTTGGTAAAAATCAGGTGGTCATCAGGTGAGTTTTCTACATCTCAAAAAGATGTCTGTCTGTCAGTCTGTACAGGACAAAAAAGGTGAGAAAGCGGAGAAAGTTAAGGCCCCAAAGAAAGGGTCAGTGCCTCAGCATCCGCGCCGCGACGCAAGGAATGATTTTCCCTGTGGTTTTCCCCAAGGCTTTTTAAGGAGAAGCCAAAGAAACAAGAGACAAAGGCAAATCAGGACGGGTGTTTTGCCTCACTTATCAATCGAAACAACCTCCTTCTCTCTCCTTTCTCTCTCCTTGGTCACGTCCTCATTTTCTTGGCATCTCTTGGCGCACCAACAAGAGTGACTCAATGGATTTAAGGGAAGAAATACAGCAAACCAGCGGTATCCAGCGCTTTTAGCCTCAAACCGGGGCTGTCAACCGATTCAGGGATGCACCACACTGATGGATTTTCCAAGGAAGAAGACGATTGGGAACTGCTGGACGACGAAGAGTTGATTCGTAGCGGCCCTGGCAGTTGGGGGTTGTTGTCTCAAAATTTGGACCCCAAAGGCCATCTGACGGTTTAGACACATTTTTATAATATATTTTGCCAAGCGGCCATCTGCTGCAACGAAGCGGGTTGTCTCCAAAATTGGAGATTTATCGATTTTCCCCCCCAAAAAATAATGACCAATGACTAATCTATTTGTGAATAGTCCTGCTGTCTCCGAAGGTCGCCAAGCACAAGCAGATGGAAAGCAGAAAGATGCCAAAGAGCCCAAAAAAGAGAAGCCCAACAAGGCAGCAGCTGAACATGTCCTGACATTGCAGACAAGGAAACGGAATAACATGTGAGGTGAACCCCAGGATTGTTCCTATTTTTTCAATGTGCTATGGCTATGAATATGCTTGTCCTTTAGTTTCTTGATGTTTCTTTCATGTTCATGTTTTTTTCGCATCATCTTCCCATGTCCCTTCAAGGATCTCAATTTAGTTCTGGCAGTTTCTGACATATTTTCCCATATTTTCCCATATTTTCCCACATGTTGGTGGCGATCAAGGCCAAAGAGAAAATTGCGAAGCGCAGATCCGATCGATCCCATCGATCCGATCGCCGAGAGAGCGAGGCCTGCTGCGTGTCGCTCAAAAAAACGGGGGGAATTGAGGATTGAGTTGCTGAATGGTGCTGATTTAACATGATTTTAACTATAAAACCTCCAATTTGTTAGGCCTTTTTTTAAAACTCGAGACTGATCAGGGAAGATTGGGATGTTTCATGATCAACTTCATCAACTTCCAATTCATTGTCAATTTGGAGAATGATCATTGGAATCATTGGTCACACATTCAATCTGATCCATTCGAGTTGGGGGTACCCCATTCTCAATCAATCCCTTCTGTCCAGTTGTTTCGCGGGGGGAGGAGAAAACCACGCGGCGGAAGTTGGCACCTCAATCGGTTTTTATCTTCTTCACCCTGTGTGAACAACTTCAGTTGAGAGTTTCATGTCGAGGGGTTCATTGGTTTGGAGCTCGTTTGTACATTTCAGTGCCACCACTGTAGCCAGCACGGCCACGGAAAAACCGACACTGTATCCGCGAAGCCATTTCATGGCTGTGTCCTTCCATTACACATCAGGGTTTTTCAGCCCTGGTGGCCCTGGTGTGGTGAGTTTCCATTTCCATATGCCATGGGGGCCATGGAGAGAGTGGCAATCGTGGTCTTTCTTGCAGCACAGACTGCATCCTTCCGCCCTGCTGTGGACAATGAGGCCAGCAATTCGAATTCGTCAATCAGGAACACAGCTTTTGATCCCTTTTTCTTAGTAAAATATATTAATACATATCATATATATATAAATATATATATATATCATATATATATATATATATCATATATATATACATAGAACAAACTTTCTCACGGTCATTTTCTTGGAGAAGAACACGTTTCTGAATCATTTTTGTTTGGCTTTCTCACACGTTTCTCTGCAGGCGCAGCCAGCACCAGATGCTCTGAATGCTTCGGAGGCTTCGGACTGTGACGTTGAGCCGCTTGGGATTTGCAAAAGAACGTTTCAACTTTTGTGCCCATTTTTGGGCGATGAGTTTCAGCTTCGCGATGTTTTTTTTTGCGTATTGTTTCTTTTGCCTATCATAAAACTTTGCTTGGGATCTGCTCCTTCCTTTGCTTCCAGTTCCCTGTCCATGACGGCATGGGGGTCGCATTTGCCCCTACTGAAGGTGGAGGTAGGGGTGCAGCTGACCCTAGGGTAGGGGCGAATGTGACTCGATCACGTTTTGCGTGGCAGGCGCAATAGTTTTAGAGGTGGGAAAGGATCGTTTTCCAGCTGTGACAGTCAGCCCTAACATCCTTTTCAAGCAACTTCCAAGACGTTGTGCATGCTACGCTGTGAACTTCCACGACGCTGTGGATTTTACTTTGTAACGTACATGTCAAGCATCTTCCAAGACGTTCTGCATGCTACGTTGCGACAACCATTTCAATCAACTTCCAACCTGTTCTGCGTGCTATGTTGTAACATCCGTGTCAAGCATCTTCCAAGACGCTCTGGATGCTACGTTGTAACATCGCTTCCAGTAACTTCCAAGACATTCTGGATGCTACGTTGTAACATCCATTTCAAATCACTGGATGCTACTTTGAACGTGCAGTTCAATGAACTTCAAAAACCTGTTCTGCGTGCTACGTTGCAACATCCATGCCAACTACCTTCCAAGACGTCCTGGATGCTTTGTTGCAGCTTCCGTTTCCAGTAACTTTCACCCGGGTCCCCCTAACTAATGTCCCCAAGTCCCCCTTAAATGTCCCTTGTCCCCAGATTAAACCCTAGAAGGTTGAATGGCTTATTAAAAAGGTACGTGACCCCGGTCCCCCCTTAACCAATGTCCCCAATGACTTATTAAGTAGAAAGGTAATTGAGGTAGGGGCGAATGTGCCCTCCGTTCCTCCATGACTATTTTGCTGCTACTTGGCTCCACTTTTCACCTTTTCACTCAGTTTTTTTGGAGGAACCTGGACACCTTCGACCCGGAGACGCTCCGGGAGCAGGGCATCTTCTGCTCCATCTGCGGAAAGACGCCGCTGGAAGTGACCGTCGCCCGTGGCTGGAGCGACAGCGTGGAGGCCTTGTTCCAGGCTCCCGAGCTGGCCAACGGCATGGCCGCTCTCCGGCTGCGGCTGCAGGTGGTGGCGAGGCATTTGCCCCATTGGCCCAAGGACAAAGACAAGGCCCGTGATTCCATGAATTTTTCCATTGGTGACTTTCTGGGAAGTCCAATAAAAGTTAGGGAATCTACTGGTATAATCCTGGTATAATTGGTATAACCACATTGGGCAAAAACTACATGGGCCCCAATTCCAGGTGTCGGATGAGGAGAGACATGGGCACCTTGAGAAGCGGAAAGTGGTGACTTCGGTAAATCCAGATGGTCTGGATGTCTTGCGACGTGTGGTGCCACCAGAGTTGCGACCCAAGGATCAGCAGATCATTGGGGATATGCCATACAATTGGCTCACTTTCTACCAGATCAAAGTGATGTGTTTGAATGCACAGAACAAGAACAGCACATCCCAACGTGCTATGGAAGTGCTCTTGGCATCACAGGGCTTCGACTCATTTGCACGAAACTTTTCCTTGAATGCCATCTGGATTTGCGTCAGTTACATTTCACCAGCTTTTTGATCCACCGTTTTAGGGGGGATCTACCAAAGGGGTAGATCCACCATAACAAGATGTTCTGTTCTGTTTCCTTGAGCCGGAAATGGGAGAAAATCTGAGGTCATTTTACTTTCCTTGATCTTCTTCTCTTTTGGTGTGATGGTCTATGTCTCCTTCCGTCTGCGGGCCTTTGGCTGGCTGGAGGTTCCAGTCTCCCTGGCCGAATTGGTGCCAGGTGCCTTTCCACCCGAGCGCTTGGCAGATGCTGAATTTGATCCCAGCCGACAGAAGAAGCAGTTGCCGTACCGAAAAGTCCCGGCGAATTTCAGCCGAAGTCGACCAGGCTTTTGGGAAGTCATCAGCCATGGTTTCCAGGTCCTCTTTGGGATTTACACCTCTTGGCTACTTCTTTGCATCCGGATTCCACCTGAGAAGGACTGAACTATCTGAACTCAGTGGGCTTTTTGATGGTTTTTGAAACGGAAAAATCTGGGATGGACTGAGTGTTTGATGTTGAGATGCCATCTGAGATTGTCGAAGTTTGTCGAAGTAAAAATTCCTGCTCAGGATGCTTTCGATGAAGAGTACATGACAGATGATGATGAGGAATGTCGCTTAAAGGTTAGAGATGTCTGTGCCATGAGAGCCAAGAATGTGGGTTCCATAGAGGTGATCGTCAGAGCGTTATCTCTTTGTGGCTTACACTACTGGCTGATCTGTGCTGGTCGCTACAGTGATCTTTTCTTCCTGGATTTCCTCTACATTACCTATGCCTGGTTGGTCTGCACAGTTGCATCCTCTGTGCCGGAAACTGTCGAGGTGGCTATGTACATAGACTACATTGTACATAGAATGCACCCTATATATATATAGATAGATAGAGAGTATATATTTATATATGTACATATTATTTGGATCATTTTACCTATACCACACACACACACATATATATATATATGTGTATATATATTCTTTGCATGTGGAGATTCACACATCATACTTTTTTTCATACATATGATGTACTTCTGCCTCAGGTGGATGCGGAAGTCACGGATTTCTCAAGTGACGACCCAGCCACCACGGTGACGGCGGTCTTCGGGGTCCAACATGGACCGCGCTGGCTGCGCGCCCAGTGCACCACCCGCAGCACGGCGGCGCCCAACAAGGTGAAGCGACGGCTGCGAAGGCGGCGGGATCAGAGTTCGGGCAACGAAGGCAGAAAGGAGGGGAAGGAGGGGAAGGAGGGAAGAACTGAGAAGGAAGATACTAAGGATCACAAGGATGACAAGGATGACAAGGATGATAAAGATGAAAGGGAAAAAGAGGAGAAAGAAGAGAAAGAAGAGAAAGAGGAAAAAGAGGAAAAAGAGGAAAAAGAGGAAAAAGAGGAAAAGGACCAGGACAGAAAAGAGGAAGTAAAAGAAGACACTCTGCCCAAAGGAGCTGAAGCAAGCGAGAAAATGGCAGATGGTCCAATTTTTCAAGGCCCAGAGAAAGAGGAACCCAGGGGTTTAAATGTTGAAAGTCACAGCTCCCACAGCTTCAGTGATCGATTTCAACGTCTTCTTTTGAATGCCGGAATTATGCACATCAACCATTCGTCTCTGCTGGAGCTCACCGTGGTGAGTATGTGTAGCTGCTTCTTGGCGGTGGTTTTCTTGCTGCATTTGAGATGGACAGCCACTGGGAGCTTCAATCGCTTTTATGACACCGAAGCCTCGAATCTGATCCAAACCTATGGCTTGCCCGAATCCTTTGACCGTGCCTTGGCCCTTGCGGCTGAGATGTTGGTCATGTGGCTCAGCTTTGAACGCTTGTATGACATGAGCACCTTGCTGCATGCCGCCACACTGACCTTCAAACAAAGGAATGCAGCCTTGCGTTTCCTCCGGGAGCATCAGCCACCCTGGACTTTCGCAGGTAGAGATGCCGTGACCTTGCAACAAGCTAAGGACTATTGTGAAGAGGTGGTCAGATGTAGTGAGTTCGCCTTGGAATTGTCAGATGCTCGGTGGCGGATCTTACAAAAACCCGTGGAATTCGTGGTGTCGCTGGTTGAGGCCTTGCTGGTGGCTGCATTCTTGATGATCCTAGTTCCAATGCTTCTGCCGTTTCTGCCGAACCTTCAGATTCCCGGGGTTCCCGCTTTGAAGCACGGATCGATTTCTGCCTTGGGATTCTGGGCTTTCTTGGACCCAGTCGTCCCATTGACCCTTGCCCTTGTCTTGGTTTCTCCCACGGTTCACACGCTACTTCAGGCCCACTTTGCCAACGGTGAAATCCAACGGCAGCAAAGCATCCTGAGAAGCCGGGCAGAATTGGCATTGTCCAGGAGCCCATTGAAACAGGAAGAGGATGTGGAATACGTTCAGCTTCGAAATTCCTCACGAAAAGCATTTGGCAAAGCCCTTCTGAAGTGGAGTCACGACCGAGTACTGGGAGTGGTGGAGCCAATTATGGTCCTCTACTCTGCCTTGTTGGTGGTGGGATTGGCAGCCATCAGTAGACTCAACTTCATCATCATTTGAGATCAGATTCCCATGGTATTCCCATGGGATTCACAAGGGATTCACTGTGATTCTGGAGGCTTAGAGCTGCCACAAAAAACCGGATGCTAAGACCAGTTGGAAGTACTTGGGATGAACCAGACACCGACCGAACAGCTTGTGGCGGTCGAAGCAGACAGTGTTTTAGTTGATGATACCCTGTCACATGTTCACCATTTTGACTCATTTTGATGGGTTCAAACCCCCCAGAAGTTGAAGATGATACCATCAGATGCTGCAAACGAAAGGCCAAACAAGCGAGCCAGCCGTAGCCGCAGTCGCGAGCGTGCAAGACTGAGTGGCGAGTTTCAAAGAAAACATGCCATGACAACATGGAGATGGGTCAAAATTGGGGTAGTAATGGACCCATGCAATGGGTCGCTCTTAGCATTGAACTATCCCTTTTGAAAGGGGGTGGTAACTTTGATCCATACAAAACATTTCCTACAGAACTTCAGAATCGCAAAATTCAATCCAAACTTATGTGAATCTATTCAATCTATTCAGTATAGAAGTGACCCTGTTGCCAACATAGATTCTGTGTTGCACTCTGAAATCCTGCCAAGGGCGACGCAAGCGGCGACAGACACCATCACCGCTTGGGGAACACAGGAGGTGAAACTGCCAGGCCAATAATGGCCCTTATGTATCCTTATGTCATCTCATGCCAATGTCACCCAACAAACCTCGAATTTTCACAATTCTTCAGATTTCTTCATGTATCATGTGCATTCATGTGCAACATCAGGCCCTCCAGGCTATGTATCGATGTCTCATCTGAGGTCTTCATCTTTGAGATCCAGTACCCCAGAGGTCCAACGCCACCTGGACAGTGCTGGACGGACAGTGCCGGACGGCGCCCGGAACGCCCGGAACGCCAGGCCCTGCGTTCCGGCTCGGAAACGTCGGACAAGTCGGAACAGTCGAAGTCCGAGAAGGTGGGAAATCATTTATCGAAAAACCCGGTAATTCTACGAATCATATAGAATCATGTACATTTGAATACTTATTTTACCAAAATTACTCAATACATCTTATTCTCAGGATTCTTCTTCTTCTTAGGACTTTTGAGGTTCAGGTTTTTCAGGGTTGGTCTTTACGGACCAGGCCTTTGGTCCACAAAAACCGCCAGAAACCCAGGCCTTCTTGGGTTCTTGGCGACATGGACTGAAGATTTGCCCTGCAAGTTGCAGTTTTCCCATGTTTTCCCCAAATGTGTCCACAGTGGTTTTTATGCTGGCCGGGTTGGTTCAGGCTTCGCGTTCTGGTCGCTTTTTGACTGCGCCGGCTCGCACACAGTGTGGGTACCACTTGGCTCATGCCTGAAGGTTTACTTTACCGGCGCGCCATGATCGTTTTTGAGCTGTGTAAGTTTTTCGTGGCAGGTGTGACAGCTTCCGGAGTTTTGCGTGACAGGCGCAGGACATCGGACACTTTTTCATCCGCGTGGCATTTCTGCACGTTGCTAAAACGTTGGCGGGTCGAAGTGAGAGGTGGTTTCCTTGGACGCGTGGCGCAGTACTTTGTAGACCTCAGTAAAAAAGTGCTCAAAACTCAGATGAAACAGTGTTTTCATAAAACGTTTTCATTTTTGGTGCGCGCAGTGTTTGGTGAAATTGTAGCAAGTGCTTGTGCAACCCTTGTGTGCCTTGGACGGCGCTCATTGTAGCGAGGTGCTCAGTTTAGCTCATTCTCAAAGGTCCTGGCAAAGAGATCTTATGAGTTCTCTGGAAGGTCCTTCTATGACGATCTTGCACGAGTTTCATACTGCGCTCTGAGAGGTCCTTTTATGAAGATCTTGACCAGGTCTTGCAATCGTCTAAGAGGTCCTTTCCTGATCTTGTACAGGCCCTTGTGAGAAGATCTTGCGGAGATCCTGGTGAAATCCATTAAGAGGCCCAGTCTTTGCATGAAGATCTTGAAGATGCTTGTATCAGAGGTGCCTGTATGAACTCTAACCCTCTCGTCACTTTGTGTGCCTTGGACGGCGCTCATTGTAGCGAGGTGCTCAGTTTAGCTCATTCTCAAAGGTCCTGGCAAAGAGATCTTATGAGTTCTCTGGAAGGTCCTTCTATGACGATCTTGCACGAGTTTCATACTGCGCTCTGAGAGGTCCTTATATGAAGATCTTGACCAGGTCTTGCAATCGTCTAAGAGGTCCTTTCCTGATCTTGTACAGGCCCTTGTGAGAAGATCTTGCGGAGATCCTGGTGAAATCCATTAAGAGGCCCAGTCTTTGCATGAAGATCTTGAAGATGCTTGTATCAGAGGTGCTTGTATGAACTCTAACCCTCTCGTCACTTTGTGTGCCTTGGACGGCGCTCATTGTAGCGAGGTGCTCAGTTTAGCTCATTCTCAAAGGTCCTGGCAAAGAGATCTTATGAGTTCTCTGGAAGGTCCTTCTATGACGATCTTGCACGAGTTTCATACTGCGCTCTGAGAGGTCCTTATATGAAGATCTTGACCAGGTCTTGCAATCGTCTAAGAGGTCCTTTCCTGATCTTGTACAGGCCCTTGTGAGAAGATCTTGTGGAGATCCTGGTGAAATCCATTAAGAGGCCCAGTCTTTGCATGAAGATCTTGAAGATGCTCTGTGTCAGAGGTGCTTGTATGAACTCTTCTGGGATGCTGTTAAGGGGTTCCTGTATGAGTATTTTGTAAGATCCTTTAGGCGGCCCTTCTTTGACAATCTTGTGAAATCTTCACAGGATCTCACAGGTGTCCTGGTATGAGGCCCTGTTCAGCAGACATAGTGTCTCCTGCTGTTACGGAGCCGCTATGATCTCTAACCTGATCTGTCACTGTTCTGTAGTTCCTGTTTCTTGTGTCTCTTGGATTTCCCCGCCTCTGTTTGTTTGGGGTCTCTTGCCGGCATCTTTTTTCTTTAGCGTTTTTGAGAAAGGGGAATAGCCACACATTTTCACAGTTGTGGATTGTTGATATCCTCACGGTATACAAAATTTGGCCAAGGCAGTCTTATGGCCCCATGCCTGGTCCTCCAGAGCCTAGCCATAGCCTCAGTCAGGTCGCAGTGGTTGCGGTGGGGATGCGGTGCGGCTCAACCGAGGTCCAGAAGATCGGGGTGGACCTCGCACGAAGCTGGTGGGGAACCTGGGAAATACACGGGAGGCCTGATTTTCAGTGACTCCGAAACCATCAAACATCCTGAATTTACTGGAAGTAAGTAGTATAAACAATATCAATTCAACAAAATCAGCTATTCTGGAAGGTTTATGCCATTGTGTTTACCTGCTTACCACATTGTGATTTCATCTTTTCATGTGAATGTTTCTCAACTTTTTTGTGCCCCCAAAATGAAGAGATTCAACAGGGCTGGGATCACAGCACAGTTTTTCCAGGTTGGGCCTCTCGTTGATGATCAGATGAGCTTTTCCCAGGCCCAACCTGGACCGTTCCTCAACACCTGGACATCTGCTGGCCCCTCAGTGCTGCTGCTATGATTGTTGCCAACATGGAACAGCTTGAAATCAGCATGGGTCTTCTTGAGAAATCTCAGGACAGTGAAACAACTTTGCCTTTTCCAGGTAACTAACGCGCCACATTTCAAATCTTTGTTTCGTTTTCCAAGGATGAGAAGGAAAGGCAGCGACAAGCTCAAGATCGAGCGAGATTGCTCTGGTTGGGTGAAAAAGTGCCAGCGGAGGTTCGCACTCTGTTTGTGCTGGAAGTGTGTCAACAAAAAAGATCCTGCTCTGAGAATCATCAAATGAACAAGGATATTGGAAGGTGATTGAACTCCATGGATGCTCTCCAGTTACCCATTTCCATATTTTGTGTTTTTTTTGGATTTTCGGGTCCTGGACATTTCAGATTCGATTTGTTTGTTCGCTTCTTGAAGCCTTCCCCGTCCCTCTGGTCATCACGGGTCATCACGATGACACCGCAGGAAAACCCGAAGGGCAAAGGCAAAGGCAAACGCCCCGACATGGAGAAGGCCCTTGTCGTTTTTGGGAAATCATCCTGACGTTCTGGAAATTGGAACATATCCATTTTTGAGGCATAAATAGGGCATGTGTTCAAGGAAAGGTCCATCTTGATATGGGGATAGATTGAGAATCTATACCGTAGTTGGAGTTGGGAAGCATGGTTCATTCGTAACTTTTTATCTCTTTTTGCCATGAAAACCCGGGGAGATCGTAGCTGACGCATCTTTGCTCCCAGGGCTTTGTCTCGCCCTTCGCCCGCTCCCGTGCCGGACGGCGTTGAGCTGATGGCCGGGCGGAGAGCTGTCGCAGCGGTGAAAATTGGAGAACAGCTGTGATTGAAATCCCGCCATTTGATTTCTTGACATGACATTTTTAAATGAGATGACAAACAAATAGTATACATATATCTCTTAGTATATATATATACATACACATATCTGAATATATATATATAGACATATATTTATTATACATGTACATATATACATATCATGAATCATTAAACATTATTTAGATTCATTCAACATGTAACATGTTGTAAACATCATAGCCACATCACTTTTCCCATGTCCGCCTTAGGATCCACCTTTGGCGCCCAAACCTGATGCGACAAGGTAAGCTGGGTTCCTCCGGGATTCCCAATAGCTGGATGTTTTTTTTGATGGAAAATCACCCAAAAACATGGAGAACTGGGGGTACCCTGACTTCGGAAACTTCGGAAACTTCGGAAACTTCGGAAAGATGGAGAATTTGCACATAAAAACTGATGAAAACTGATGAACATTTGCCATCTTTTATCTGCTTTTCTTGGAGAATTCTTCGCCACATGTTGTGGCTCCAGGCGTCCGGAGGAAGGTTATCCACCGCAGGCGCGACTGTTGCAAGCAGCTTCGTTATGTTGCGAGCATTTGCCACGTTTCCTGATGTTCACATGTTCACTTTGAGGATGATTTAGGAAATTGAGGTGTTTCATTTTCGGTCTCTTCTTTGGCAAAGCTCTTCCCAGCCACTTTGTCAAAATGGACCAGGCGCGAGAGACGCAGCCGAAAGGCGCCAGCAAGTCCATTGATGGTCTGCTTGACGAGATGGAAGACGATGATGGTGGGTTCGGAAAACCCGTGGGAAAATCATCTGAAGATCAGGAGAAGTGTGGCTTTGGAAATAGGGATACAATGTACCCCCAAGTCCAATCGATTCTCATCATTTCATGCCCAGGCACTGACACACCCAGGGTTTGGACGACCCGACTATGGAGTTTGACGAAGTAGAGCCGAAGTTTTTTTTGCACCCTCTTTGTGGGTCCCCAATCTGTTCAAATTACTAAACCATGCGCTGCTGATTCCCAAAATTCTTCCAGAACAGTTTCACTCATCGCTATGGCCACCAAATCTCTTCGGCTCATCGCCTACCGTGTTCACCTCATGTGACGTTTTTAGCAGTATGAAAAAACTTCACCGGATTTCACCTTTGATTCCACGGGATTCTGGTTTCCGATCGACGCCGGCTCTCAGGCCTCTAGTTCCATGTCCTGACTGTCATCGCAGCTTCAAAGCAGAGAGTCTGGACCCAAGACCTCCATTCGAAGTCTGAAGCACTGTGAAGCACTGTGAAGCAGCAGCAAATCCAATGGATGGTCGCATGGTAAGCATCGTATTGGTAAACATCAGCAAGTAGCAAATTATCCAGTTGGATTCGTTTGTACACACATATGATATTATATACATAGTATTTATCGCTGGAGGGCGTCTCCTTGCACTTACCTAAAGCAGTGCCAAAATTACACTTTGAACCATGTCCCAAAAAAAAACACATCCATAATTTGCGCTCTGTCGAGCCTTAAACTGAAACCTTCAACAAACGATTTTATCCTGTGAAAACAGCCCAAATTGACCCAACCCTAAACCCGGAACCAACCCTAAATCAACCATAAACCATGAATCCCCCGGTCCGCACTGGTGCTGTTCTCACTAGGCTTGGAGAAGCACAAGAAGATCTGTAAGCAGGTGTGGCGCCCGGCCGCATGTTTCAACCAAGGTTGGGATTGATGTTGTTATTTTGGGGATTTGTTTCACAGAACTTGAACATGGATCAGGTCGCGATGATATTTCCTTTTTTGTTGGGTGCTGTTTCCATTAAAGACACATCACTTGGATGACAAGAATGGGTCGCTTTAAGACAGCCCCATTTCAAAAACGCATGGGGATATCGGGACAACCGACTAGGCTCAGCAGGCTCGGACACATTCCAACAGAATTGGTCCAGCAATGGCCTAGCCTCATCAGCATCAGCTGTTCAGGTCTTTCAAAACAAGCGCAAGCAGTTCAACAGCTCCGCTCCCAGGGATGGAATTTTGCTTCCGCACCTAGGGTATATCCCATCTTGAACCATATATTCAACATGCGTTACGACATGTTTCAAGGAGTCTGGAAATAGGCTAACCCCAAAATGCTGTGATTGGTCATACTTTTTTACCATGAAATGCTCAGGTGGGATATGGTTTTGTCTAAAACGGTGCTATTTATCCTCCATTTATGGTCGTTTCAAAAAGTGGTCATGGAGATTTTTTTGCCATGGAATTTGGGGGCGTTGCATTGGTTTCCTAGCATTTTCCATGAAGTTTCCAGCATTTTTCTTGGGTTTTCCTACCATTTTCCTTGATTGTCCAACATTTTCCTTGGTCCCAGCATGTTCCATGGGTTGTCCCAGCATTTTCCGTGGTTTTCCCACCATTTTTCTTGGGCGTTCGCAGCATTGGCCACGATTTTCCATCATTTTCCTTTGTTGTCCAAAGATTCTTGGTCATATCAGTTACATGGGGTCTGAAAATGGGGTATGCCTCCATAAGCATAGTACTGGGGATGATAAACTGGAACAAATGGGGCACCATATTTTAAGTCAGTTCTTCAGCGAAAGCGCTGAGAGTTTCTCAGGCGCAGCCAATCGTCTGGGGGAGTTTGACAATGCACAGGAGCTCATCGCGAACGCCACCAAGCCTCCCCGGCGAGTTTGGCGAACGCCGCCGTAATGTTGGAAAAGTCAAGGAACATGTAGGAAAAACCATGGAAAATCATGGAAAACTCATGATGTCCCCATTTTTTGGTTCTCAAGAGATGTCTCATGATGTCTTCATTTTTGGAAGTCCGCTTCAGTTTTGGAACGGCGCCAGGAGTGAGAAACAGCGCGAAAAGGAGAACCATTCAGAGAAGCCCTCGACGAAGAAGGTGCCCAGTGGTCTGAGTCAGAGAATTGGAGCTAGATATGGTGGTAAATCATGGCATACCATGGTAAATTGGTCGTAAATCATGGTAGCAAATGGTAACTATAGGTTGTTTGTAGCCGTGCATCCTTCAAATCCAGCGAATCTGGCAGGAGAAAGGTTCTGTCCCGAAGTGGAAAGCACAGTCTGTTGCCTCAGGTTTCGGTCAGAGTTTCTGCAGTGCGCGAGCTAAAACTGGGAGCTTCCCAGCAACAACCCACTAGAACCAGAACTTTTACCTTACAAAACATCAGGACACAAAGCCACCATTTTAGATGGTTTCTACCCTTAGTTTCCCCTCAATTTAGATGTGTCATATTTCCATGAAAATTGCTCAAAATCCCCTCCAAGTTGGAGGTACTTTCCCCAACCCATCTTTGCATATCTTTGCGGCACCAAGGTCCTTAGCCTTTCGCCAGGCGATTCTCGCTGCCAAGGGAGCCTCGGGGGATTCGGAAGCGGCCAAGAAGGCCCGACATCGGGCCAAAATTGGTTTGCCATGGTTATTTTTACCAGAAAAATGTTCAAAGAAATCATGACAAAACTGGAGAGGTTGAAAACTTTTGAAACATCTAAAGAATTCTAAAGTACAAAAAACCTTTGCTCTACCCTAGTGGACCTCCAAGATCAACATCAATATGGAGTGGTGCGACTCACATGGGGCTGATTGATTCAAGGAAGATTCGATGAATCGCAGTTGTTGATTTCAGAAAAACGCGCCAGAAGGTTCTCATGATTTCATTTGTGACCAGCCTTGTGTCGATGTTTTGGATGATTTTTTGTTCCCTCGTCAGGCCGCTGAAATACAAAAGGAGTTGAATGCTGCCAACTTGGCCTCTGGAGGAAACGTCATGGAATCTGACATGGTGAAATGTCAGAAGCCTCAGATGGAGATGGACCCAGAAATCCATTTGCGATCTACAAAATATTTACGATACCATTCCGACAATCAAAGGTGCGGACCGGTGCAAATGACAGCGATAGAACAGCCATTTGGGACCGGTGACAACGAGTCTTGACATGTCTTGACACATTTCATGTGAGGTCCCCACTGTGGCCGGACCTTCAACGAGGAGGCACTGGCTGCTTCGCAATCTGGAAGCCCTGGGGGTCAACATTTTGGATCCGAAAAATGCAACTTTTGGGTCATTTTTTGGTAATTTTTTGGTCATTTTTGGTCTTCATCATACATTTCTTGGATTTTCTAGGGGGATTCCACTAGTCACTCGTCAAGGTGACCAGTTTTTTTTGTCGGCTTGAACCGAACGGTCTGAGGCAGGGCAGCGTCACATCGCCATTTGCCTAAGAACCTTTGGTGGTAAAGGCCGCCCAAAGGCGGGCGCAGCGAAGCGACATGTCATGGGAACAATTTTTTGATGGAAGAAAAATGCACATCTACAGTTTACCCATGTTCACCTTGGTTTTAACATTCGATTTTTGTGTGGTTTGCCGAAATCTGACGGGCTGGGAAGGCTTGAAATCACTTAAACCTCCAAGCCATCGCCGTTGTGCTCAGACCATTTAGCCATGAGCCCGGCAATGGAGCCTCCGTGAGCCATGGCGGATTTTCCAGCCCTTCCGTCTCCCGCTTCTGAAGGACCAAAACATGTACTTGACACGTAAGTTTTCGGCAAGTCTTCCGGTCTGCGGTATAGTACGCCCCAAAAAAGGATAGAAGAGTCAATTCAAAACGGACTTTCGTAGAATTTTACTTTTCTATCCTCCAAAAGGGGGTTGCTAGAGATGTAACAAGTTGATGGTTTTCCCAATGATCCAATGTTTTTCCAATGTTTCCCCAGACGGCCAGGAGTGATTTCTCTACCCATCGAGGCCTTGCTTGACGCGCTGGATGGACCACCCCAGCAAGGAATGGGCGGGGCGGGGGATCGTGGATGTAGATGGTAACCCTGGTTTTTGGTCATTGCTGCTGATCTTGGTCATGTGAGTTATGTTTTTTCAAATTTTGTTTTTCTGTCTTGTATCTTTTGAACTTTTTGGGGGAAAGGCCCAAGAGATTTGGCGGAGCTCAAGCCTGAACCTCAGGGACCTCAGCCTATGGACATGTTGTGATCCAACATCCCATGATTTTTGGTGGCAGGCAAGTTATTTTTTGACCGAACATGGTTGAAATTGTCAAGGATAGGAACGCACTTTGCCAGTCCAAGAAACTTCCGGGGTCGAGCGATCTCCATTCTCCGATTGGCTTCTGTTGAGCTTTGTTGAGAAAAAACACACCAGACATGATGGGAGTGATATAATGTGATATTATCCCATTGCATCACCAGTATATCCCCATTATATCTCCATTATGTCACTGGTGATGAATTACTGGTGATATACTGGTGGTATGATGAATATATATATATATACAAGTACAATTATGATTATATACCCATTCTATACCCATTATATACCCATTATATCCCCATTTTATCGCCATTATATACCCATTCTGGTTGATGAATTTCCGTCCCGCCATGACGTTGCACCTAGGCCACTCTTGCTGACCATCGACGTCCGCTCCCCCGCAGAGTTCGAAGCTGGCCATATCCCAGGCGAAAAACGGAGCTGCCACGCTTTGCTGTTTTCCGTTTAGATTCATGGCGAAAATGAAGGAGCTAAAGTAAGTGCAGCCACTGAAACGATCCTAAATGGGTTCTTGAATCGTGTGTAAGGGATGAGAAAAACCAAGCTAAAACAACTATGTTGTTGAAGTGCTGCAATGCTTCACCCTGGAATTGGCCATCTTTTTTCAAGGAGCCGTAAATGTTCCTCTCTTCGACGACGAAGCCCGGGCCCTTGTGGGGACAGACTTCAAGCGCAAAGGTCGCTACGAGGCGGAGTCCACAGGGGGTGTATGATCCTTTGGAGAGAAACACGAGAAACAAAGGGGTACGGGTAGACCCGGTTGGCATCCAGAGATTGATATCGGATATATCCAGGATAATCCAAGCAGCTGGGTTTCACCAAGATAACATGCATGTTTCTCCAACATGTGCTGGTTCTCGGAATAAAAGAGACATCCTGCAGGCCATCCACCGCGGGTTGCAGCTGGCTGGTCCGAAATTTGCGGATTTTCTGGATGCTTTGCAGGAGATCTGGTGGTCAAGTTTTGGTCAAGCCCTGGTCAGCTGAGAAAAACTTGTTTTTCTTTGGGCTGTTCATTCTCTTGTGGGGATGGGGTTAGCTTGGGTTAGTGTTGCCTTCCTAAAAATGTGGACTGTAGGATGTTGGCATTTTCATCCCATGATACGCGTTTTTTTTTTCCAGGAACATGGTGCCAAAGCTGGTGGCCATCTATTGGTTTATTGTCCACTTCTCAGTTTTTCGGCCAGCCGCCATTGGTGGCTCCGGTGGTCACCCAGGTTGGCGCGGTGGCATGCGCTCGGGCTCTATGGCCTGGCTCTTCTCCCTCTGTGGCTTTCAGGTGGTTGGAAATTTCTATCTGAAAATGGTGGATTTACCCTCTGTTAAACTAACAGTTTGCTATGGAAAAATGGCCATTTATAGTGGATTTACCCATTAATAGCATGGTGATCACGAAAGCCAGCCGCTAGGCTAGGCGAAGTTCTATATGCGAACAAAGTGAGTTAAGGGGGTCTGGGGGCAGAGCGTCCGAAATTGGACAAAAATGAGGAAAATAGGTGGTAAAAAAGGTGGACGCAGTTAAACTTTTTTAGGGTTATGTACCAGGTGGCAATTGGGTGACGTTGGGGTATCGATTCCCCCCTGGTCCGCCCTCCGAGGTGGATCTGGGCAGATTGCAATGGAGGGGAAAATGATGAGACAAATAATAGAAAAAATGAGGGAATAGGACATAAAACAATGGGAAAAAAATGGGAAAGGAGGGGAAAATGATGAGAAAAACCATGGAAAAAAGGAAGGACTTTGACATAAAACAATGGAAAAAAATGGGAAAGCAATGGAAACGGTGGAAAGAATAGGGAGAGAACAATGGGAAAAAAATGCGAAAGGAGAGGAAAATGATGAGAAAAACAATGGAAAAAAGGAGGGACTTTGACATAAAACAATGGAAAAAAAATGGGAAAGCAATGGAAACGGTGGAAAGAATAGGGAGAGGGTAAAATGATGCCAAGTGTAATGAAGGGGAAAATGATGTCGAGTAAAATTATGGAAAAGCAAGGAACAAAAGGAACTATGACGTCGACATGGAGCGATGGGAAAGCAATGGAAAAATTGAGGGACTAAAAATGAGGGAATATGACATAAAACAATGGGAAAAAAACGGGAAAGGAGGGGAAAATGATGAGAAAAACAATAGAAAAAATGAGGGAATATGACATAAAACAATGGGAAAAAAATGGGAAAGGAGGGGAAAATACAATGGAAAAAAGGGGGGAACTTTGACATAAAACAATGGAAAAAAATGAGACAGCAATGGAAACGGTGGAAAGAATAGGGAGAGGGTCAAATGATGCCAAGTAAAATTCTGGAATGAAGGGGAAAATGATGTCGAGTAAAACTATGGAAAAGCAACGACGAGATGGATCGATGGGAAAGCAATGGAAAAATTGAGGGACTATGCTGAAGAGGTGGAGTCAAACAATGGAAAAACAATGGAAAAATTGCGGCTCCGATGGGACCAGTATCGAGTCAAAGTACAGCCAGAAAACCATAGAATCGGCGAGTGAAACCATTGATACAGTGCAACGTGGGAGGTGCATTTCGGTTCTAGTTCAGATGTGTCATGCATTGGGCACAGCAACACGTGTTTCTATAGATGTGTTCTCTGGTATCCTTTGGGAGAGACGAACCGAAGGGATGTAGGTGAAAGGCGAAGGATGTCGAGGCGATTGTGGCCGTCTATACCCTCTAAGTGTTGGGCATATAGTTGGGTCTTCACGGGGCGAAAGAGCTGTGTTTGGACGTCTGTAGTTCATTGCGCTCCCTGCTCACATGGTGTGCAATGGCTGGCGAGGCGGCGCAGGAGAGCTCTGCTTTGCGAGTATTTGCGGACATGCATTCCATACTGGTGTATTCACGAAAGCCAGCCGCTAGGCTAGGCGAAGTTCTATATGCGAACAAAGTGAGTTAAGGGGGTCTGGGGGCAGAGCGCCCGAAAACGGACAAAAATGAGGAAATTAGGTGGTAAAAAAGGTGGCCACAGGTAAACTTTTTTAGGGTTATGTACCAGGTGGCAATTGGGTGACGTTGGGGTATCGATTCCCCCCCTGGTCCGCCCTCCGAGGTGGATCTGGGCAGATTGCAATGGAGGGGAAAATGATGAGAAAAACAATAGAAAAAATGAGGGAATATGACATAAAACCAACGGGAAAAAAATGGGAAAGGAGGGGAAAATGATGAGAAAAACAATGGAAAAAAGGAGGGACTTTGACATAAAACAATGGAAAAAATGGGAAAGCAATGGAAAATTTGAGTAGAACGCTTGGAAAATTGATTGAAACGCGAGGAGAAACGGTGGAAAGAATAGGGAGAGGGTAAAATGATGCCAAGTAAAATTGAGGCTCCGATGTGGGACCATTATCGCGTAAAGCATGCGTGAAACAATGGAAAAGCAATGGAACAATTGCAGTTTCGATGTGTGACCACTATGGAGTAGAAGCACAGAAAAAAAAACATGGAAGAAACGAGCAAAACCGTTTATACGG